TTTTAAATATTTTTTTCAGTCATTCGTTTTGTTAAATAAAACTATGTAAATACACTGATAGTAATTCAATTGTTAAAATGAAAGAGTTAATAACATATTTTAAGTTCAAAACACCTCAACCAAAACTAAAACCACAACTGCGTGAAACTTACGAAGCGTGAAAATCACGCCTGGCGTGAAAATAACGCTTGCGTTTCGTGAACTCGGAATCCACACTAATACTTGATTGGAATGAACCTCAATTAAAAGGAAACTATTGAAAAATTGTAAAATGTCAAAGTAGTTAAAATAACAACTAGCAGATGGTTTGAATGCCAAGTACAACGGAAGAACCACAAAGACGTCAATTTGAGTCATTTAGTTTGAAAACTCAACTAAAGAGGTAAATATTGTGCAGAAAGATGTGTCCTGTTCACGTCAATATAACGTCAAAAATCATCGATACCATGACAAATATGTTATCCTGCGAGCGAACTCCCTCCTAAGTGAATACAAGTCTTGAGGGGTCCAATATTAATTCAAGTTCTTTCGACTTTATACAGAAGGGTCTCTCAGGCCCGTTCTTTTTTTCCGATTCTACTGAGCTCGATGCCGGCCTGCCGGCGGGTTTGCCTAATCGAGGTATATTACGGCGCGCGTGCGAGTATGCTACCTGTCCGCACGCCAGCATCCAGTACGGTGTTACTAAGAGAAAGAAAAGGGCGCACGAACCGCCTTGTATCTTAACAGTGTGGTTCTACCCCTTCACATTAGGCTGAACGGCACACACAACAAGGTGGTGTGGATGACAATACTGGCGGTCGTCTGTCAGCGGCAGGGCAAGCCACTCACTGCTGGCCATGTCCGGCGTACACCGTAGTGCGCGGCGTCCTTGCGGACAGGAGAGGGGACGGTGGGCGACTCGTCAAGCTGACAATGGGACATTTCGGGATCGAACGATGTTAGGAAATAGCCGTGAAGTCAGAGGTCACCATGACCTTTAGCCCAGGCCTTGGCCCAAGAGATGTGTTGAAGTCTGCATAAACATTTATTTAGCACAACTCTTAATTCTTTACCTCTTGTTAAAAGGGAAACACCAGGTAGGTAGCTAACACGAAGTTATCTGTAAACATGCACGTGGGTGGGTGGGTTGCCTACTCGAACGGGTCAGTAAAGAGCAGCGATGATAGGCAATATTTCCCGCAAACGTGCATACAGTACAGTATAACCACAAAATTATGCGGCGTAAGTCAGCCACTGGGTGAGGTGTACTCAGCGCTCTCTATTCAAGCCAAGAACGAGCTTTTCTGTGTGTGTCACACCGGGACGACAGAAGATGGAGATACGCACCTTACACGAAAAAATCTTTTTCACGGTAGGACAGAAGCTGCATATAAGCAGCTGGCACGCCAAAATTGTTGTTTCATTACCTCGATTATAGTCCGTTTATCAGGGACACCGGCACAGGAACTCACCTGCAACAAAGGGAAATGTTATTCAGTCAAATCGTTTACACCGTATTCACTGTTATGGGCTTAGCATAGCCATTGGTGCTAGGTGATCTACAGGTCCACGGGGGACGGCCAAAGTTGTGCCACGTTCTACCAGGACCCCCCGGTGGGCGCCAGCTGGGGTCGCAAGGGCAGCTAACAGAGTCTTGCCTTAAGTGGTGCGAACCCTTAGCGGCACAGTAGTAGTCGGGCGATCAAACAGCGGCCTCGTCAGTGAACGGGCTTAAACTCATTATGGTTCAATTCCGCTCCATCAACTTGAAATTGAATAATTCATTGGCATGCAAGGTGGCGGTGCTCATCAGCGCACCTGGCTGAGGCACAACAGGACGTTCCCAGCCAAACTACAGCACGCACAGAGCAAAGAAAAAGTTACAAAACAAAAGTGAAAACACTTCACATTTTGTTAATATTGTATGCCACAATAGAAGAACACTTTCTCCTTAGATGCCCGTCTGCCCCGTTTGAGTGGGCTGTGTGTTTAAGGCACCTAAACAATGCATCATGGGCAGGGAGGGAAAATATTTAAACTCAGCACGTTTTGGGAAGGGAGCACGCCGTAGAGTGATTAAGATGGCAATCTTTAAAGTCATTGCAGACGAAATTGAAAAGCGGATTAGTAAAGAGGTGCTTGGAAGAGAGTTTCCGTAAATAGACCAACGCAAAGATTACATACGATAAGCACGTCCACCTCGATTTTGTGTGCACACTGTAAAATTACTGCACAGCCGAGACAGCCAATAATTGAATGTCAGGAGACACTACAACGGAATAAATGACGAGCTGCAAACACAATGCACACGCGCGCCTTTCCCCGACCTACCATAGCGAATTTCGTAAAATACAGCCACCAACCCCGGGCGCAGGAGAGGACAGCTCATTTTGTTGAGCGGGTCGCAGCCACGTGGAGACGCTGGAGACAGATGGACGCGCGTTAGGGAGGCCAGCGCCAAGGCGAGGTCACCCACCTAACAGGTGCCATTTCTTTTCACGCAGCATGAGGCCGAGACGCCGACGCCACCACCGCTCGATCCAAGCGCGAGTTCAAAGCCCTGATAACAAGACCAGATGGTGGGCAGGCAATTCATAAAAACAAAACAAGAAATACAACTTTTAAAAAGCACAACAAAACACGGCGTCATCTTCTCGGAACAATATTTCGTGGAGATAACCTCCCCCTCCTCACGGGCTCGTCTCAGCTATCGTTTCGACTCCGGAAAGTCGCAATAGTCGGAGGAGACAGGGCGTAGGCCATATTAGAAACTGCTCCTCGCGCGCACCGACCTTGTCGCGCCAACTAACTCTCTTCTAAACTTTCAGCGGAGTGCCACAAACACTTGGTCGCGAGGCTAACGAGGAGAGACGGAAATGGGGGATGAGGGAGGCTGAAGAAGGCTCGTGTACGAAAGGCCCTCTTGACGCTGAGTACTCACATAAGTCTCAGCCGACGGTCTTTAGGTATTGCCTAAGAAAAGAGTATGGAACTCGTCAAATGAAACCTAATGCCGCATTCCTTCTGATTTGCATTTGATTAAAAACCGCGAAGCAACAAGCAAACTCGCAGCTTAGTTTTCATCGAATGTCTGTCTCCGCCCCCCCCCCCCTCTCTCCGGCCCGGCACAATCCGGACACATTCGCCTGCGCCCTTGATGCACTTATCGGGAAAGCCATCTGCACGAGAGGGAAAAAAATACGCTGGTTTTCTGGTTGAGATGAGTTTTGTGACAGCTGGAGTTATAGGGGCCAGGCCAGCCCGCGGCGCACCGGGAGACCATTCCGCGCCGCGATGTGGGAACCCTGTTTCGACCCGAGTTTCAACGACGTCATCATACGAGGTGCGGCGAATCACAGCACGCGCGCGTCTCTGCTCCCGATGCGGCGAGGCCAGGGCTGCGCGGGGCTCCGCGGGGCTGCGCGGGGCTCCGCGGGACTCCGCTGGCGCAGGCACGAGTCCGCCTCTCGTCCCGCTACTCATATCCGGGCGGGCGGGGGGTGTCGTCCCGGGAGTGGGTAAGGGGGAGGGGCGAGGAGATTTACATGCAAGGATTAACTCAAAACCCATCCCGCTCAACAGCGAGCCGCCTGAGACGTGGGCTTTTCGCTAAACACGCCAGCGCTGCTTTCCAAGGAGTAGGAAAATTCGCGAATTGCGATCAAAGACAAGAACGAAAGAACACAGAGCTGGAAAACAATCGTGGCAACACCACCCGTGATCTAGCGCAATCTGCTAAGCCATATGAAGTCTAGTAAAAACCAAGGTGTTTAAAAACCATACTAGTTTGGTTTATACGAAAAATTGGAATGTAACGGCGTCCGTGTATTGTTGTTGAAGTTAAAAATGATTGAACATTTTTTTTTTCAACGAGCAGTTCGTAGCTCGTGCAAGCGCGACTATTTGTAAATTTGCGGGTGTAATTGGTGACTATTACATGTACACCCAGAAAAAAAGTTTCTTGATTCAAGTGCAAGCTGACACAAGATGAAAATGACACAAGATGAAAATGACACAAGATGAAAATG